GGAACACCAAGTAACATGAGTATAAGACCGTCAGTCCATTGTAATACGTTTGCAGCTGAGAGTTAGGCTTTCGACAGTTTTTAAAATAGTGCTATCGAAAAGTTAGCTTGTGTGTGGCGGGCGGTCTGTCGTAACATCTTGCTGCTTAGGAGTGTAATTAGAAAACGGCGAAGACCAGATACTTTAATGAAATCCACATGTTTAAGTAATAGCTGAGTGGGAGATGAAGTATGCTAGCTATCTTTCAAAGAAGACGCCAGCTTATAGTGCTATTTATTCTGACCCCGCGATCCTCGTAGCTAGACATTAGATAACTGACAAAATTCGTATTCAGCATTTGACGCGGATAGAAGCTCTGCAATAATGAACGCAGCAACAAGGAATCGGAATGGCATGACTCGGTCAGGCGGGCGTGATCACTTAAATTCTCGCTTATTGTACCAAATATATCAACAATTTCCTAGCCTAAATATGTTCTTCATTAGTGCTAGACGTCATATTGCTGATTGTACGATAGGATGAGACAGTGTAGATAATGACGTGACTTTCATATAAGACCTTATATATTGGGTAATCACTTCATGACAAATCTATAATGTTGGAATTAGGTCTATTATTATAGTAGTACGAATGTGGTGTGGGTTACTCTCTTCAGCACAAGTAGTATATGACGGTGGTCAGGCATAGGATGTATTTCAGTAGAAGGTCGATGAGGAAAGAACGGGGACGGAACGCAATTGGTATGAAAACACGTAAACAGTTAAATATGAGATAATGGATTGATGTTTGCAACAGGAACAGTCAACTTTGATATAATGGATTGATATTTTGCAAATTAATGATTTACTATATGGTTCTCATATTTTATTGAGATGATCTGCAATTTAGTGTCACATACATTCGATTGTCCCCCACTGGTGTTCTTGTTCACTACACTAATACCTAGTTTGACCATAATTTTACAAGTAACTGTTTCAAAAGTAACGTCCTTGATAGCTATTGCATCATGCCATTGAGTTGGCCGGTTTACACGGGTTGTCACGGTTGGAATATCGATGTCCCCACAGAGAATGTGATTCAGTGTAATGAAATGTGCGCAACTGCAAATTCAGAGTTATTGAGAGGACACTGGCGCAGGAAACTTCTTATTTAGCAGGTAAAACTAGTTCATTCACTAGTCCGACAATACTTATGCTATTTCAATTACAACTGTCCAAACATTAATAATAAGGATGAATGACTCTATCCATTCTTTGGAAATTCTGAAGACTCTAGATTTCGATCACGAACTGCGGATTCCACTCGACTCAACCGCAAAGAAAATACCAGCTCCAGGAGGTGTATGATGGCACAATCAGAAAAGATATATGATTTAATGTCCCACTCAACTTGACTTGCGTTAGGAAATAAATGCTTCTTTTTAAGTCTGTTAAGGGTCAAATGAAAATGAATATGGTTGAGATGAGTGTCACATGTTGTGATAGACATCAAGGGGCATTTAACACGTCTCTTCATCTTAAAATTCTTGTAGATTACATAAAAAGTGCCCACTCTCCCGCGTTTACTCATGCCAGCAAAACACACGTTACTATGAATTTACTTTATAATGTATTTAGGGTTTTGATTTCCGTTTGCCGCCCGATATTTGAAGAAACGATCTTGTAGACGATAGTTGGCTAACTTCGCGAATGTCATTAAGATGTCAGATTGTTGTCATCACAACACTGATGGATAACGGTTGACTATATTAATCGGCTCCGTTCGCCAGCAACCCTCTTCGGCCGAGGGGTCACCCGAAATCTTTGTCGTAACAAGTGCGAGGTTGGAAAACCTCAAGAGATTTTCTGCGTTTCCTAGAAGGCTTATCATGAGTGTTAATTTACCAGAGGTCATTTAGGTTATTTGTTTCTCGCGATCTAGGAGCAGATACTTTTTGTGACAGGTTTCTGTGGGGAGTTTCCGTTTATTCGCTATTATGATGAATGTTGAGAAAACGGGTGGAAGTACATCAGAGATCTTTAATTTGCTTTGCATTGAGTCGGTATTTTTTTAACAGGTTTAACGCGGGTTCTAAGGATTTTGATCCCTAGAATCCAGTCAGTAGATGTTGCTAGTTTGTCTACGGCGTTACGTTGTAATGAAGGCAGAACCGCCTGCGCTTTTGAGGATGTGTATATGAGGAGAACTCTCCAAAGAGGTCCTCGTCGAAAGCTCATTGATCAAAGAGCTCCGCACACGTGGCAACGTTACTACTTCTGAGCCGTGTTACAATTTGGTACTATCGAGTCATCTATATAACCTTTGTCGATCGGCCATGTCTTCACGTATATAGTCCTTTTTTAAGTGTAAGGTTCGGAAACATCACTAATAAACATTCTCGGTGTAACGTACCCCTTGAAATTACATGGCATTGACTTCACTACTGAGGAGAATTTCGCACCCGGGCCTATTACGTTGTGCTCGTGGAAGTCAGTCCCTTTATATCAGAACAAGACGTTGGTATTTTATAAGGGAATCACAGAAATAGTTAAACGTCGAGGAGCGTTAGAGACTTAATCTTCAAAACTCTGAGTGTCTTTTCCAATATAACAAGAATAAATGCATGGATTATCGAAAATAATCTGAAAATACAAAAATAATGTTCCGATCCGCATAAAGATCATATATATTTAAAGTTTTACTAGTAAAAACCTCACGGTTTATCGTTTGGCGTGACAGATCGAGTTGAAATAATTATTACAGAAGTCACGGATATTCATATTTTGATATCGCTTTGGTACGTGATATCCTTGAAATTAAAGGATATAAACGCAGTCGATTCAGAAGTCAATAATGAAGCAGTGAGATGATGTATTAGGAATATTATCGTTATGTCGATAAATAAGTGATCTAAGCTAGCCAGTTGTTGCGAGTGATGCGCAGCGGAGTACTCAATGGTGATGTGATGCGGTTTCGTGACAAACAACACTCGGTAAGATGTGTTCATCGAAACTAGCAAGGTCTGCATAAATGTTGAAGACTCAAAAAATTATCTGTGTTTAAGATTTATTTAGCGCTACAGTTATAATTGCACATTCATTTTCTGACAGAATATGAACTGATTGGTCTTAGTGTGTGGCACAGTTAAATCAATCATGATCATTGATTTGATGCATAGCTGATTGATTCTCCTAAAGTGTTTGTATATTGGCATAAAAATATAAATCAACCTATAGGCGCGTTATTAGTGTATTGTGCTATTTAGCTATGTTGTCGTTGTTGGTGTAATGCGTCCAAAACAGTAAGATGCTAACAGATAGATTTTAATATCAAACTGTCCTAGTCTCATGAATGTTATTTTAACTGTTTTTTAATCGCTTTGTTTCTAAATGTAAGTGCTTTCTGCATTCTCACTGCTTTGTGGGAACACTTTCCCTGCACGCAAGATACCTGTAGTGTCGTTTATTATGCTAAGCCCATGTACCGTATTCTAGCTTTCGGGCAGCCCATTCTACTTGAGTCACATTTTGACCTTGTTAATTATCCGCTTATCAATCTTGACTGTTTTTATATGAGCGCGTAGGTGTGTGTACATTTCTTATCCCATTACACATCACATGTCTGTAATTTATTTTTGTGTGACTATAAATATTGATTAACGCTTGGTTAAATGAGAGTTGGCTTACCAGCCATCTCCACTGCGCGTCGTTTTGCTTCGTTCTACTCCATTCACTTAATATACAGAATATATGTATTTACAAGTCCATTATCGTTATTCGACTTATTTAATTCCGTTATTGAATAACGCGATTTGAGTCGATGATTATATACGAGGATAGGCGATAACAAACATTCATACGATCTAATTGGAGTCAGATTCACGGGCCACTAAAGTGGAGAGCCCTTTCGACCACATCGTTCGATCTAAATGATCACAAAATTAAGGGCCACACTAAATACCTTCAGGCTGGACGCAGATCTATTAAAAGCTGAACGTGACGTGAGAAACGTTCATTCTAAAGTGTTTCCGTGGGTTCCCAATCTCTCGATTTTAAGGAAATCTCCAATGTTCAATGGCCTTCCCCAAAATTGTGAAAAAATTTGAGGTTTTATCAGTAAATAGGTACAAGTTTCCCAAGATTGTTTTAAGATTCCGGGATAAATTTCGGGAAATCACCAAATTTTTGAGGGAATATTAGTGAAAAACCCAAAGTTTTGGGGGATTTCCTCAGATCTGGGATATTTTGTGGTTTTGGTGCCATTTCCTTAAAGGTTTCCATAGCGGCTTCCCGAAATTTCAAAACACTGGAAAAATTATCCCCAAAATAGGAAAATTAGATCATTCACTCATCATTTAGCGATGTAGATTTATATTATCATAATTTTTCACAGACGTAAAGTGGTTTTCAAACGCTAGTCAAACATAATTATTCAATAATGTTAAGTCCTGTCATGCTCATTATCTCAGGAAAACGAAGTTAAATGTCGATATTGTCAAAGTCAATATTCACCTAATTACTAGGGTCTAACGAGAGTTGTAAATTAGCTCTGGTATATATAATTACTAATTCTATAAGATTGGGGTTTAGAGTTAGAATTAAGGGTTAGGGAGTATGAAAAACTGACCAGCTAGTGTGTCGAAATGCTAATTAACCATACAAATCAATGGATTTCATGCAAATATCTTTACTTCCGTTGCTTCTTCCATGGATCATACTCTCGCCCGAATCCGCGCCATGTAGTTTAGTCTTTTCACCTGAATACTAGTGTACTTTCGTCGTTACCTCCCTAGAGATACCAAACTTCTACACAGTCGATAAGATTTGAAAAGGTAGTTCATGTGCTAAATGCCATTCACTTACCAAGTTCTCAATTAATTTTCTGAAAAATATTTTTATAACTTGTTCATATATACATGTTGTTTTTTAACGTTATTTGCTGTTAATTTGCATAGCTTTTTTGCCATAGAAGTGGTTCAGCAAATTTTTGAGTCCGCGTAGATAATTTGTGCACGTACTTCAATGGGTGACCAAAGGGAAAAATTTTTTAAGCACCCCAGAAGAAAAACAGCCTACGGTACGTTAACTCAGTTTTTGTATTTCTTACGATGATAAATACAATGATTTACTATTTCTTAGCTAGTCTTAGGTTACACATTGGTAAGCTCAATAAAATAAATTTTTTTTAGCCTCTTAGCTCTCAGTTTATAAACGAAATAGTTGGACGTTTCGTCTTCATCTTTAACTGGTCCATTCATAAGATTTATTTCAAAAATCATCCAATCAAAGCGAATATTATGGTTCTTGAAAACTTATCCCAATAGGTTGGGATGGTGATAAAGATCGATAACGACTCAAATACAAACCAACAATAAGTTCATGCGACGGTCGTGAGAAGTGGCGGGGAACAAAAGTGAAAGACATGGGAATTCGACAGCAGTAGGTAGCTTCAGACAGCTCAACAGACCGATAAGTAAAGTAGTTATTAAAGATGCAGTTGTTGGAGAGACTATTTCAAAACAAAACAGAAGCATCACCCACCTTTGATCTAGGAGGTAAGACATTGCAGAAGACTTTAAGGGGAAGTTCAACTGACCTCCAGCCAGCCTTCAGTTATCATTTATTTCCAATCAACTTGAGCGGCAAACTGACACAAGTCTCCAACTCTTGAGTTAAAAACGCTCTGGGTAACCTAAAGTGAGGGAGAATAGCAAACCATAATGACATGATCTGAGAGATTTCCAAGAAAGATGGCCAAATTTTATCTGTTAGGCTGAGTGAGATATTAGCTAAATTTTAAGGACTAGGAGTTGTCCCGTCTCCATCGTCTCAGGCTGTAAGAACGGATAAAAACCCTTCTGCGATAACCAGAGGGTGATCCGTTTGACTAATATAGAGTCTAAAATATTAGCCTCAATGGTTCAACGCTTATATGGAGCTCGTGAAAATCAAATCCGTGAAATCCAGGGTGATTTTAGGCCTGGACATGTTCGTACTGACTAAATTTTCGCTCCTAGACCCTAGATAATATCTCAGTCAATCTACAGACCACAATCCTAATTGTCTATTTGCTCATGTTGCAGAAGTTTGACTTCTAATCCCATTAAGAGTATTTATCAGAACTGTATCTGATCTAATTGCACATTAATGTCACATGGAAATTCAAGTTCTTATCAATTCACAGTGGTTCGGTGAGTTTTTTTTTTCAATGTATAAAAATCTGGTATGCGAATTTTTATCCCTTGGATAGAATTCTTCAGCAAGTCGATAGAACGCTGTGTTGCTTCGAACCACAGTTTTTGTGACTTTTGTATACGAGAACTTATTTCAGTGCATCAGAAAGAATATGATTGACTGTATCAATACTTTTCCAATATGTGCCATTGTTATTCAGTCAAAAACTACCTGTAAGTGAATCGTTCGAAGTAGTAAATATATGTTTTGTCATAAATCCTTAAACTCAGTTGGTTTTATTTGATTCGTTTTATAATCAAACTTGGAACTTTTATGTATGATGCTATGTTACTGCTTAACTATTGATTTATTATCAAGTAGTTCATATTTCCTAACGTAGGTTAATTTGTCCTACAACGATATCATTTAGCGTTATTGGTAGTTAATATTAATAATCGGAAGAATAGTTTTTTTAGCATACTGCCCAATTATTCGCTTCCTTTTTGTCTTCTAGTTGCTTCACGTTATTTGGAAAAATCAAATACTGTCCATCGATCTGTGAGTGAAGTGTTTGGATTATACTTGCTTTCAAACATCTTAGGTTTCGTCTGTAAGAGAAAAGTCGACCAATGAACGGCAAAACAGTTCTATTGTGAAGCGGCAATCGTCTCCAAAATTTGGAGTCAATGCATCGAATGCTCAATTAGTCATTGATGTAGGTTGCTGGTTAGAATTAGTCATTGTTTACCTATCATGCATTGCGTGTAGGCTGACATATTCGATTCCTTTTATTATATTGCTTACTGTTACGGTGCTGTTATAATTTAAAACTTGTGAATTATCACTTCCGTGTCTAATCAACCGACTAATTTTCGATTTCCCTTAAGTCACATGATATTGCATCCTGATTTCATTCGAATAGCAATCGCTTAGTTGTTCACTGTTTACCACAATTGTACAATCAAGATATACAAAATCAATAAATTTGGGAGTTAGTGCATGCATAGTATATAATATAGGCCTGTGGATCTACATACTACAGAAAGTATGTATAGAAAAACCGCAACCAAAATTTCTCATATGGATTGTATAGCTTTCCAAATGGTTGCATATGTATTTAGAGATTAAAATGAAAATTAATAGCCAGATGTAAAACTGTACCGTGAGATTAGAGCACTCGTTATAGGGTTCCTATGACACTGATTATTTTCTGTTCCCTTTTACAATTTTTGAAGCTCAATTGTCGAACAAATGTATCTTTACATCCAAGTATTTTATTTCCTAAAATATTTCCTGTATAGTTTCACTGGCGAAGCAAGAAAAGTTTATTTATTTGAACACATAAATATTAGTACAAGAATGCGCCACACAAAACAATGAGAATTTTAGGGGAAGGAAAAAAAAGAGAGAATAATAACGAAGTGATTGATGTCAGGTGATGTAATAATAATAATGGTAAAAATGGGGGAACGGAAAGGTACAATCAGAAAAAATATTCCAGTTAAGGAAGACACAACCACTTTTTTTATGAAGAAGGTAAAAGAAGGTTACAGCAGGATCGCCACTGGCTTCTATTCTGAGCCATATCTGATAACGTCTCTAGCAACTGTGTCGCACCATCTCTCGGACCCCAACCAGGGAGTCATGGAGGACCAACAGAAGCCAGTCCTTTGCAGTTTTCTTTCATGCCACGACACCATGTCATGCACTGAATACCTCTCCGCTTCTTCCAACCAGTCCCAGCGTCGGCAAATAATGCACGACGTGGAATTCTCTGGGACGACATTCGGAGAACATGTCCAAGCCACCGAAGTCGGTGTTTCAAGATGGTGACATCGATTGCATTATCATCTCTGTGCCCGAACACACGATGCCGAACCTCTGCATTACTAACATGGTGTTGCCACTGAATGTCAGCAATCCTTCGGAGACAACGATAATCGAACACAGAGTCGTCTAACATCCTCAACTCGGAGAGGCCAGGTTTTAGAAGCATAGAGCAAAACTGCTCTCACCGACGCGTTTTAAATCCGACGTTTTACAGCCAGACTAACATCACGAAGACTCCAAAGGTGGCCCAGATTGGCATAAGCCGCTCTGGCTTTCACTATACGTGCATTGATCTCATCACTCACACCTCCACCAGCACTTATGCAGCTACCCAGATACACGAACTTCTCGACTACTTCTATCTGCTCACCATCCAGAGTGAGTACAGGATTAGAGTCCTGCCAATCTTGTAGAAGTACTTTGCACTTCGAAGGTGCAAACGTGGTTTCAGAAAAACTGCTTCAGTACTCATATTCGGTGGTAATGTACAATTTTCAACCGGACAGTGACTCGAGAACGTTTAAATAGAGTCGAATTTCCACCAAAGTCGAAAAAAATAAGTAGACAGAGTAGGAATAAAAGAGGGTGAATAATGTCGTTGTAAATAATAATAATAATAATAATAAAAATAATAATAATAATAATAATAATAATAATTTCAATCATTTAATTGTTATGCAAAGCGAGAAAAGTAGTTTTATATCTAGAGAGTTCATCATTTGCGAGTGGGCTGCGATACTGCCCGGGTGCCCAGACCGAAGCAGGTGGTTATCTTAGGGGGCCACACCCCGAGCCTTTGACCTAAAGGTCTAACCCACAAGGTAGTGGAGCATCGTAAGGAGATGCAGTCCCATGGTAGCCGGTGACCGAGAATTGGTTCATACGCCATTCATTCCCGCAGGATACTGGAGCCCATGTGCACCATTGGCTTGGGATCCGGTTAAAGCACCGGACATTCGCTTTTCGTCCTCTCATTTTCGTAAACAACAGTAATGCCACGAGAAGGTAGTGAGTAGGACTTCTCTGGCAGAGACAGTATACGCGTGGCCGTGTGAGAGTATTTCGAGAGGGACGGCGGACTCTCCCCACTCTCGGCCATACCAGGGCATTTAGGGGCATTTCAATAGCAATCGTCATTTGGTCATTTAGTATCACTGCATTCATTTTTCGATTAACATTCAACCCATTGACTTCGAAAGTCGAAAGTTTGCTTATTAAACTGTCAGAAACCTTTATAATATTAATTTTAGGATAAAGATTGATTGTCAAAATGTCAATTATGCATTCAGTCAATGAAGCCGTAGATTGAACATATTAAAATGCTCCTAACTCAGTCATAATCTGAACATCACTCATAACCAAATGCAGTTCAGAACCATTCGATATTTAAAAGCTAAGATATAACAAAGTTGATAGGGATTCTTGAAGTCGTACTTTCTCAGTCACAATTTCCTGAAATTTTTCTGACTTCATGCTCAGAACCTTCAATCCTGGTTATAGGACATTCAGCTAAGCTTTTAGTAATTCCTCTATCGAAGATCTCACCATCTTTCCAGTCTAATGTGTCTACAATTGTCCACATGCATTGATATAAGAGAGGATATGTCATGGCGCTTGACCGCTAATTGATGTTCGTGTATGCGAAGATAAAGGGGATGTCCTCGTTATTCGATGTGATGTTTATCGCAGTTGGAACTGTTTATTTTGTAGGTGATCGGTGTTTCTTTTGTTGTTTCCTCCTTTCGTTTGCATAAGATTGAGATGATTTTGCTCGTTTGTGTGCTACACCTATTCCAACGGCTTCAATAATCTCGTTGTAATTTCTGATGTCTTTTATATATGGTAGGATGATCCGTTTGTTAGTTCCTGTACTTGATTTTGTTTTTGCTGATGTGTTGGGTTGATATTTTCTGATGAAGTTAAGTGGGTAGACGTTCTTTCGAAATAGTCTTTAGATAATTTTTCATTTTCCCGCGTTGCAGTGTGTCCTCATCCTCTTGAATAAAGTTTGTGCGCAGTTGAATTTATGAGTTGTTGGGTTGTTGCCACTGTAATTGAGAACCTGATCTGTGTGGGTCAGGTTCCAGTATACTTGAGTCTCCAGTTTTTCTGTATCGGTTCTGGTGATTAGTACATCGAAGAAAATGTCGAGATCTTGGATAGAGGAATTATTAAAAGCACTAGATAATTTTCGGTCAATCAAGTTAGCAAACACATTGAAATCGGTCCAATCTGTTAATCGGTTAGAAAAATCATAGACAAATATGGGACGAAGAATCAAATCAAAGGTAAATACACTCAAAATAAACAGGTAGAAAATGACAAGTAAAAGGTCAACAATAACCAATCGAGGTTGTCAGGACAAGCTGTGAGTCATATGCGGAGAAGTTCGAACGTTTCACTCCTGCCTGAAGTTTATGCTTATGATTTTGTCCAAAAGAACAATGAAAGTTCGACCGAACCATTCAGCTCAGGAAGCTGTTAGCGGACATAGACTAGGTTAAAGCAAGCTCAATGCACGATTAGTTTGGAGAATACTCGAGAATCTTCTCATGTAAAAACTATAAATATACTGACGTTTTTCCCTATTGTGCTTCTGACTTGCTTCTTACTTCCATCTAACCATGTTATTTGGAATATAATCTCTTTCCTGTTCAACCGTGTTCTGATTTGGGGACTTGTCGAGTGAATCGGTGTCCGAGAATACTAAGCAATAGGAATAGCTGGGTCATAACCGTAAGAAAGAGATTTATAACAAAAACAAAACCACCCAAATCATCCACCTGACCTACAAATCACCATCTCAAAAGTCACTTGTTTGCTTGTCGGTTTTTGGGGTCGTGGATTTTACTGTTAATTTCAATGATCTATTTGTCTATATAGAATAGAATAAAGTGTGGTCATTAATAGTATCCAGGATGTTCGTTTCATATTTTAAATTATAACCCCTTTCCAGTTATCTTGTCTAGGGGACTTTCAAAAAATGTTTTTCTCAGGACCTGGTTTACTTAAAAATCTTGAAGCGATTGAGAATATTTTTAAGTTATATGGTAATATAGAGTAATCATGCTTAAAATAACAATATTGTAAATTTGTAAAAAAAAAACCTCGGAACAATTGAAAATACCTTGTTAGTATTCACTCATAACTACTTATTTATGCATTTTTTAAATTGATCAATTAATTTAAGTCTGTTTCTGTTTATCAAAAATTAATAAATAGGATTCAGTTGCTTCTGCAATTCACTCACATGACATGGAACATGGTAGCGTCATTGAACATTCTTCTGGTTCATTAACCTTGGATAATCCTGTAAAAAGCTTAATGAATTAGATGTTGATTCATTGTCTGATATATCATTAGCTGCATATACTGTTTGGATATTGTTTCAACGTTATACATCATCTTACATTGTGAATAAAGTAGAATGTGATTATGTAAGTTCTAGTTCTAATATTTGACAATGTGATTGAATTAGTATCTAGTTTAGATTTTTATTGACTATGTCCAATCTAGATTATATTTTGTATGTAAGTTATTTCTTAAAACAGTCAATATTTAATGTCTTGCCTTACTTGGTAGATCACACTACCTTTAATATTGACGCTTCCTGTATTACACTGGGAGAACACTTGAGAGGACAATTCTGATACGTTCTCTAACCTGATGAAAGACCATTACAAATCATGAAATCTATGGAATATTGTGTTAGACTACTATTCTCACTTGAGAAATTGGTTCGTCAATATTTTGATATCTGATTTTATTTCAGACTGACATCGGCCTAAGAGTTATTTAGACGTAGGAAGATTTGGATAACTGTTTCATCATAGCTTGGAATTTCTCGATAGTACACGTTCAAGACTCCATGTAATGCCGAAACTGAAACCTAATGGTTTTGCGGCAACCAAGATTTTTTGAGATCACTACTTTAGAGTGTAATAATCCATGTTTCCAACTTCTGTTTTAACGTGATATCGCTTGACAATTATCTATTTTCATCAGCACTAGTATCAATCTGGGATGCAAAATTTATTCCAGACTGACCAATTTCGAAATTCATTTCCACATGCAGTTGGATTATTTCACTTTCCCAGACATTGTGAACTTCTAGCACACACAAAATTGTAAACTTCAAGCTATATAAAAATAGCAAAATCAACTCAGTTCTAAGGAAGTCTCAATAAAACATTCTACAGGTCAACATCCAAACCACATTTTTATCTTCCATGTTCTGATTAAAAAATAGCAGCTTCAGCAATCATGGATAACATAGTAACTCATTGGATTTCTTTGATTCCATTTAGAATCACTAGGTGATTATGTAGAACATGGTTGTTTATCTTCATTAAAAGATATGGAACCTTTCATGATTGAATACTCTTCAGGTTAAATGGAATATGAAATTCACTATTATTACTGTTGTTGAATCATTTGATAGTTTATGTATTTTAATTTTAGGCTGAAATTGTTGGTCTGTTAAATCGCATAAGATCTACACGCGAAGAAATTATTCGCTTACGTAAAACAAAACATGATTGGGAAAACTGGTTTCAATCAGTCAAAGATTTACATAATGAGGTAATACTGTGCATGTATATATTACCTGTTGAATAGGCATTTTAGACTATAATTTCATTTTTCTCCTTTGTACCATATTACTTGTTAGTGGTCAGTAGTTTAAGTCACTTTAGCTATGTACACTAGGTGAACACTATAACTGACGGCAATCGCTTATCAGAATAAAGCAGATCCCATCTGTTCATATTCTTGCTTCGACATTTTGCTTTCAATTTCTATTTTTGGTAGTGTTTCTTTCTTCCGATCGAAGCTTTGGGATTTGGAAGTTTTTTATTGATCCAGAAGTACGTATAATGTGAACTGCCACTACGAGTCATCGCGTGCTCACTTGTTTGGGAGACAAGTTCGTAGAAAATATTTTTATTGTCTTCTCGTCTGCTGACACATCACGACTTAATACGTTCACTTTCATTCAGTGAATCGTAAACTTATTTATCATATGGAAGTCCTCAAAATAGATAATAAAGATCCCTTAAAATGTAGTGGCTGCTCAGACATTTTAGTACACGATTTTATTTTATTAACTTTAACTTATCCTTATTACATCTTGTTGTATTTGGTCACATACTTAGTAAAATCTGTGTATGCCTTTTATCTGATGTCGGCAACTCAGTCTCTGAAATCTATGGTACGTCAATTAGTTACCTTAAAACTCGAATTCTGCAAATTTTGACCAAACTGTTACATGTCCCGTGATTATTGACTATCGACCCGCATAGCGAAGTAGAGGCTTTCAGGGAGACCTAAATTTCCATGCGCTTCAAGCCATCACGACTAGAACACCTAATCTCGATTGTTTTCAAGTTTGATGTCGAAATTCTAATCGAAGAACTGACCAAGTTAGCTAAACGTTTTACGAACAAAAAAGTTTCGTCATCTTGTAGTAATGCTATCTTTGTTCCTATTAGTAAGAAGTGCTTCCGCAGTTTATGCGACAATTGTCAGATTATTAGTCCTCTCCATCTGGTTGAGGTATGGATTTGTTTGTTGGAGAAAGACATGTCGATTTTCAGTATGGGGATGTCGTTGATACACAAACTATTCAAATCGCGGTTAAATAACCAGTAGTTAATGCCCGTAGTTATGTTATGTAATTTGCATTCTTTCAATCCAAAATATAGGACCCTGTACTTGAAATTCATTTGATCAACCTTGTGAAACCTGGCCTCTCCCAACTAAGAATTTTCGGAGAGTGTTGATGTTCAATCATCCTTTTCTCCAAAGAGTTGCTTACATCCAGTAGCAACATCATTTAAGTGATGATGATGCTCGGGAATGTATATTTTAGCACAGTGACGATACTTCAGTCGGTGTCACCACCTTGAAAGACCGGATTCGGTATCCTGCTTCTGCATTTTGGATATCATTCTAGCGGCTTCCAATCCCCGTATTACTTTCAGACTCTGGGACAGGATAGGAAAAGTGGAAAGGTGATCATTTTATGGGATAGCACTGTAATCTGAATAGTAGATGTGTGAAATTGGAATCCGTTAGTACATCAGAACTCTGTTGTTTTGGTTCTAGGAATACAACGACTCAGTAGCTTGAGATACTATTTGATATGACCCAGAATATCTAACATTTGGGATCTTACTGTAGTGTTCTGTTACATTTTTCACAAAAACGAAATGATTTCTTTAACTAAATCTCTCTGGTCACATTTTTAACTAAACTTTATATCTTGTTAAATATTGTTTTGATTTATTTATTGATTATATGGTTGTTCTTGTATTTATTTCTCTGTACTGTTATCATCTTACTTGTGTGAATCGGTTTTTTTTCGGTACTATTAATGAAGCAAATAAACTTTACGATTGTTTCTAAATAACTTTTTCAAACTACAGGAATTCAGAGATAACTCAATTTAACTACATAATGAGTTAATGGTTAAAATGTGTAAACATTGAATCCAATTGAATGTTAGGGAACATGTTTAAAAACATTAACTATAATATTTGTTCTATGACTTAATAAGTATATATTTTCACCTTTCCAATGAAAAATAACAGTCCAGATAATCCCACATTTTTGTAAGTAAAAAAATATCAATTGAACTAATATCTGACCCATAAATTATTTTCTTGCTTACCCTTTGATTAGTACGTAACCTTATTTGATAATAAGAGTCTCGAATCAATTTATGATGCAATCTATTCTATCCTCCTATAAACATATATATTTTCCATATAACTATATATATACGAATGTACAGCTTAAGTAAATGATTTCGTCGAAAAGAAAAATGTCTTCGCTGAATTTTCTTTTTCTTATTCATTAACTTGTTTATTTTGACTTCGTTTGGACCACCTTGTGTTAATCGTTATCATATCTTGTTTTTGCTTGTTTCAACCATTTTTCTACTTTAGCACAAGATACTTACAGATTTAATTAAAATGTTGGGTATATCTGAATGTAGTTCGAAAGAGAATGATAATTTTTTAGACAGTAAAAATTTTGATCAAACAGAATTAATTCCTCAACTCGAACAAACTATATTACAAAAATTTTCACCTATATTAAATCGTTTAACTGTGAAAGAAATAAACTTGGATAATTATGAAAATGTTTGTCACGATTTACAACAACTTAGTGACATAGCATCTTTGGTAAGTGATCATAATATTCTTAGAATGGTGGGATTTCTCTCACTTTTTTGTCTACCATTTAGTAACAAATTACTGATAAATTATTACTTTCTTACATTATATACTGGCTTTTGATTTGGTGGACGATTCTAATTAGTAGAGCGCGTTCGATACAAGATTTTAGTGTAGTTCTTGTTGTACTAGATATATATCTTTTGTTCTCAGCGTATAAGAAAGTCTTATTTATTTTAACACGTAGATAATGGTACAAGAAGGCACCAAATGCATATGCGCCACACAAATATCATTCGATATGTGTGAGGGCTGTGATACTGCCCGGGTGCCCAAACCGAAACAGGTGGTTTTCTTAGGGGGCCACACCCCGAGCCTTTGACCTAAAGGTCTAACCCACAAGGTAGTGGAGCATCGTAAGGAGATGCAGTCCCATGGTAGCCGGTGACCGAGAATTGGTTCATACGCCATTCATTCCCGCAGGATACTGGAGCCCATGTGCACCATTGGCTTGGGATCCGGTTAAAGCACCGGACATTCGCTTTTCGTCCTCTCATTTTCGTAAACAACAGTAATGCCACGAGAAGGTAGTGAGTAGGGCTTCCCTGGCAGAGGCTGTATACGCGTGGCCGTGTGAGAGTATTTCGAGAGGGAGAGCGGAATCTCCCCACTCTCGGCCATACCAGGGCATTTGGGGGCATAAGAAAGTCTACTGCTAACTAGATGAATCTATAAATACACAGCATTAAATCTATGGAAACCATGTCTCATTTATGTCATAAATTAAACTTTGCTATGAGTTCGGTAAATTAATTATACTTTTATCCAATACATAATACTGTTTGACTACTAGTCATATCAGATAAATGACAGATCATACCCATATTTCCTAGCTTTGCAATTGTACTTAGTTTTCTGGATATTAACTGTTCATCGAAAATGTGTTCGTTTACAATCTTTAAAACAAATTAGAACCATACATTATTGAAGTGGATGTTTGTTTTTCTGAATAAAATCGTTTCTTTCATTTTTTTGTTGTCTTCGTTACTGTGGCTTCATTCTTTCGATACTTTTTGAAATCCTCTCTCTGTAATTAGAAAAGAAAAATGAGTGACAAATGTTCTTTCATGATTTTAATACAAACCTTATGTGATAACATCTATGTAGGGCGATAACATATAACGGTTGATGAAAGTAAATTTATAATTGGTACTTGTTCATAATTACTATCCAGCAATCAATTCTAAAGGATAGCCAGTTCGAGTTTCGTATTTCTTCTTTATTTTTAACATTGTTTACACGAAATAAAACTATCAAAGAAATATAGATGAAGTTTTTACCATTTAAATCTTTCTCATGTAAAAGCTAAGCACATGGGCAGTGTTAAAAACCCCGCGGTACATTTTCAGCAAGTCCTTAGCCAATCAGAAAACAGCTTCTGTAAACCAGTAGTTCATGGAAAGTAAAACGTTCATATCACAAGTTGTAAAAAAGATTTTACATAGTTAATGAATCTTCTAGAGTTTATTGTGCTTAGAAATCAAGAAAACATCTATTTCAAATATATCTTTTATTTGTTCTTATTTATTGCATTTTATAGTTTTCTAACATCAGTGAAAATGACATTGACGTATTCGAACAATTGGCAGATGAAGTGAATAATTTTGCTGATCATTTACAAAATAGAATTTATCCTCAAAATATTGCACAATATGAACAGTTAATGCAATGTTTACAAACTTTTATTTTATATACTTCACTGAAATGTGAACAAATTGAACGTAAATGGCTTAAACAAATACTTTTATCAGATTAATTTTTTTTTAAAAAGATATTTTTCCGAAGAAAAAACTGTGTTTTCAATAATTTTGTTTGAAATAACTTGTTGACTTTTCTACTCTGTCAAATTGATTGTTCTTATTAGGTTATTGTATTACAATTTTTGTCGCTTAATTATCACTGTATAGAAGTCAATGTCACGTTTGTCTAGTCCTTAATAGCTCACAGAACTCTATCGTTTAAGTTACAGTATGGCTGTTGGTAACATGTGAGACAGTAAAACTCGATGACCAGGGTTCAAATCTGTTAGGGAGCACCAATCCCTACATGATTATGTATATTTCTTTCCGGTGAGTATCAATTAGCATAAAACCCATGTTTATGAATTCCTCCCCACCACTTACCATTATTAAAATTTGAAATTATTATATGCTTACTGTAGTTTAAACAAATAATCAGTCATCTAGTCAATAATATTCCAGCGCTTACCCAATAACTGTATTTTAAAGTCGCTTTGGTTGCCGATTTATAGCTAGGTTCTTTTTACGATGCGTATTTGCTAACCTCACGTTCAACCGTCCTTGCTAGGGGGGCTGGGACCGGAAGTACACCCAGAGGATGTCTCCAGGGGGAGTCAAATCAAAGTATTGTACAAATATACTTACTTGACTAATGAGCTGAATTTGTTTTAATCATTTAAACATGATATAGCATATTTTTCACGCTCTCGGTTCATCAAACCAGTTCAACGAAGGTATTAATTGGTTCAGATAAATAATTCCTAAGTATATTTGTTGCTTACTTATAAACCTATAGATAGATGCCGTTTTAATAGTGATACTGATCTGTTTATTCTGAAGCAATCAAATAATTTTTTCACATTGAAAGAAAAAGATTAACCGTTTTCAGCAAATAGTTTGGCACGTATTTAGTTGCATGCCTTTAAAATATTTGTAAAGTCTTCAATGTTATTTCATTTGTGTTGGTTGTTTGAAATTTTCAGTTGAAGTTAAGGACTGTAATTAACCAGTATCTTTGGAATATGGGGATCCTGTGCGGGCTGCCTCGATATTGACATTAGATCACAAGCGTCGTAATCAGAGATGAACGGCGGCTAACAGTGGAGTCCAGGACCCGCGTTTCGTCCTGTTTGGCACTCATCAGCCGGGTGTACCTGTATCTTATAGGTGATGTTGAGTCACAGAGTGGACACCAACCTTAGGATGCTTTTACATCCAGCTGATGAGTCCCAAATAGGAAGAAACACGCGTCCTGGATTCCACTGCTAGCCGCGATCCATCTCTTTTATGTTCTGTATGGCTGAGAAATACCGAGCTACTCAGGTAGGGGTAAGGGTTACACGGTGCTTGATGAAAACGCAATGTGACGTGGGTTTGTATTGTTTAGAATGCGTAATTTCGCTGGAAGCTCTAGGTACACTTTAATAATAAGTGCCATGAAGCACAAAACTTGAGATGAGGGCTTCTTACATATAACTCTCACCTACATCATGTTTCAAGTGTAATGTGATTTCATGACACCATAAAATACGAATTAAGTGAAGATTCATAATATAGTAGACAGACAAAATTTTTATTTGTCCCCATGTACAGTATCTATAGCTGACTTGTGTTTGTGAAGTACGCTATAAATCTTTCATCCTAACCCGTAGCGTCATTTCATAATGGGTTGTTCACAATATATTATTATTTGGTTGTATTTACAGATTAGGCTACCGGCTGATGGTCATTATGAGAAAAATGTTTATTTTATTTGTGAAAATTATAATTGAATTCTTTTTCAACGATGTATTTGGATTGATTTATCCCATCCATCTGTATAATAAAAAAGTGGCTCACCGAAGTTGTTGTTAAATCAATAGCTTAATGATATCAGCACGAAAAATAATAATAGTCAGTGTGTAGTAGTTGGAATTATGCCATTGAAATGAACCAATTAGGAAAAAATATATGCCGAAGGAAAGTTCACGTTATGTGATTGGTGTTTGTGTAGTGATGACATGATTTAGCCAGGAGAGATTAAAGATTTGTATTCTGTTTGCAGATGGACAAGTTTACTTTCGTGCCTTGTAATTCAATCTAATTTGCAGATTTTCATTACATTTATTTTTACCTACTAGAACATTTTCCTTAGCGAATTGAAGTTCAATGAGGTCATATTTAAAATTATGTATGACTATTGTGTTTTCTAACAGTCAAGGTTATGTCTGATTTTTTTATCAATTTATTCATTATCATATCAGTAAGTCCATGCGATGCACTGAGAACTCTAGGTGTTATTAAAGTGATTTTAGCAGCTTTGGATACTGTGGAAGGATACTTATTTTTAAGGGATTTGAAAGGGAATCTGGGTTAGTAATGGTTTTATCGACCTGAAAGCAATACTGAGGTTAAAATTAATGTATTGGGAATATTGGTAGATTGAACTGTGAAGCCTCATTGAACGAGGTGGCTGGGACACGTTTTACAGATGTTCATCTGTCTCATACTGTTATGTCCTGATAGACATAATTAATGGTAACTTTTGGGATCCATTTACGTACCAATACTATGCGTATATTTTTATCGTGTAGTTCTTAAGTAACTAAACTGTTCATATTCATGTCCCTCTTATTATAAGCTCTATTTTGACCTATGAACTATTATTATAGGATTTACCATTCTTGAATTATGCCCTGTCTATTAATTACTACCTCCCTCATTCGCAGCCACATTTGGCTAATTCTTGTACAAATGTTGTTTCATATTTTATGGTACAATGTGGTCTGTCTGGTTGGGATATAAACCCAGTATGCTTGAAATAAATGATTCTTATCGCAGAGGCTCGGACCAGTGTTCTGGACTTAACTGGCTAGGCTAAGCGGAAATATGGAGAATTCAGTACTCTCGATTGCTCGCATGTGTTTTATACGTCATTGGTCCGATCGATAATTCACTGCTCCCTAATTGGCGGTGTCATTACATATACATTAACAGGGCACACAGGCCACAAGTTATAAGATATACCTTAACATGCAATCTTGGCTGGAGCAGAAGGAAAATGATAAAAGATAGTGGTGGGTAAACAAAGGATGTAGCATCACTCCATGAAGTCAGTGGTTACTGACCTGAGCTATGTCGGTAAAGGCAGATTACCTAGTTAGTAATTCATCAATAGTTCGTCTATTTTGTCAATGGTCACACTATAACAACCTGACGAATCTCTGCGTTTTTTGCATACATACCTGAATAATAATGTGGATATTTCGAGACCACTGTATCATAAACTTCTAAAAGCGTTAATGACATTATCAAACAATGATATTATACAACGTAGTTTACAAATAATCGAAACTGGCGTTAGCATTTCAGCTCAATGGTAAAATCTTTGACTGTCGCACTTGTTAATAAGATTTGTAATTCTACAGAGAGCTTCAATTCCTACAATAGTGGAGATACGCCCTGCTGTCAGGCGATATCCAGCATGAAACATAGACTTCCGGTTCTCTGTTATTTGACTTCGACCACCTAATATCAAAATATTGAGTACGTAATGCTGAGTAACTGAAACTGGTGTCCTCATTGTAATCGATCGGTAGAGTTTAATCAGTGCTAGGAATTAGAGAAACGTGAAATCGGCTGCTAATCAAGGATTAATCAGTGTGAATCAAGATATTTTAGTATTTTGCTAATTGGTTTAGGCAATAATCAACTATTAATGATTTCATTCTATAATATACTTCAACATTTGAACTTAAATCCTTTTCCCCTGTTGTCAATTCATGTTTCTTTGCATTAAATATAAAAAATCAACATTCGCTCTCTAAGTTTTCTATTACGTCATTATTCTAAACCGAATTAATTTATTAGCTTGTATGTAGCTCGGTGTAACTTTTCCTGGAGCCCTTATTGGTTTAGTGTCGGTCCTAAGCCTGGAAAAATAATCAGGGTTGGGCATGGGTTAGCGACCCCACCTCCTTTTAAAACAGAACCTCGCTAAAAAAATTTATCATAAAAAATCATTTAAACTCTGCACTGGGAGTTGGAGTGTATTTAATTAGAATTACGACGTCTCAAGGTGAAAGCCGAGGTTCCTCGGAAATTACGAGGTAAATACCCTTCTGAAAAACAGAGAGAGAAACAGTTAATATGGGTACATGGAATATCTGGATAATGTAGGAGACTGAAGGGATCAGTCAAATAGTTGAAGAAGTGAAAAGATACAACCTGGTCGTGCTTGGCATAAGTGAAAGACATTGGACGCAAGTTGAACGGAAAGGATTGACATCAAGAGAGGTGCTGTTGTACTCTGGTCATGAAGAAGAAAATGCTTTCCACACACAAGGAGTTGCACTGATGTTGTCCAAAGAAGCACGATAGGCATTTATAGTATATGAACCCCACGGATTCCGGATCATCAAAGCATCGTTTAAAACAAAGAAGGAAGGAATTATAATGAATGTTATCCAGTGTTAGGCACGCGGTAATGATAGCAGCGAAGGTGATGAGACTCAGTCTTACGGTAGTCCGGAGTTCGTTGTAGATAACTACCCACGAAAAAACCTGACAATCACGATAGAGAGCCTGAATGCTGATGTCGATATGGACGACATCGGGGATAAATATATCGTAGGACGACATGGAATTGGAAAGAGAAATAAAAATGGTGGGAGACTTGCAAATCTATATACTTTCAACAAAATGGTTATAGGTGACACCATATTCCTCTAGGAACACATAAACAAAACAACTTGGGATTCCCAAGACTACATTATTGGGAACCAAACCTGTCACATCCGCATCAATAAGAAATTCAGAATATCCATGCAATGTGTAAGAACAAAGAGAGGAGCTGTTATCGCTTCACAACACTAGATGGTGGTGCCCGAGCTAAAACTCAGGCTAATGAATAATTGGACTAAAATACACTTCATAATTCAGCAAACTATTTCATTGTTTCATCTGAATTCAATTTAAGAAGTTTCTAACGATACAATTCCGATGAAAGTAGAAATGTTAAGATTCAAGTATTCATCAT